CATAAATTACAAAAAAATAAATCCAGCTGGAGGCTGACTGAGAATACAGTGAATGGAACGACAGCCCCTAAATGTTCAGAGTGAAGGAACTTCCGCAGACAAGCAGGAAACTGATTCCTAGGGTAAGGGGAAACCTCCCTCCTTCACTTCCAAGTTGGGGAAAGCAATTATCAGGCAAGATTTTCTTTGAACTCTGTGAACGTTTAACTGGGATAATAACTGGAATTAAGTACTAGAGAATCAAAGTGGAAAATGCTCTCCTAGGCCTGAAAATTATTGCACTTGCCCTGTGTATTGGAGATAGAGGCCAGGATTTTAAATATGGTGTAGGAAGAAAAAAAAATTGTTCACGAGACCCTATTCTTGAAGAAAAGAATTTGACTTTCTCGGTGTTGCTTTTGGTGGCATTTGCCTGTCAGACCTCCCACGAGTTGGGCTCTTCATGTTCTGATAGGATGGCTGCTGACCAGCTGTCACTTCCGCCAGAAACCACCCTGGCTCCATATGAAATCTGCCAGCGGTGGTTAGAAGGGGAAGGCTGGGCTTTGGAGCCTCATCTTTATGCACTTTCTCTGCCAGGGCCATTAGGGGGGCAGGAAAGTTTACTCAGCCCAGATCACCAACTGGGAACCCTACCAAGACTCTGTCCCAGCTGAAACAGTGCTTGGGTCTTATCCTCTGGGTGGTCACCAAACACTAGGCCAGGCCAGAAGTTCTGCCTGCAGCTGTTGACCTGTGGGAACTTCAGAGCTCCAGGAACATGAGAGAATTTGGGAAAGCCGGAATTTTTGCTTCCATATATTAAGGGGAAGGAGAGGGTGGGGGAGGGGAGGGAGGGAGAGGGTGGGGGAGGGGAGGGAGGGAGAGGGGGAGAGAGAGAGAAGGGATTAAGTAGGGATGATAATTTCAAATGTTTAAGTAAGTGGGGCTGCACTATATAATATTTAGGGATTCAGACTTTGGGGCAAAAGTATGTGAGTTTGAACCCTGATTCTGCCATTCTCCAGCTATGTGTCACTGGGCAAGTCACTTAATCCACCTTTGCCTCAATTTTCTCAGCTGCAAAATGCGAATAATAGTGTTCTGTACCTTTTAGGGTTACTTTGAGGCTTAAATGAGTTAACTTTTGTTAAGGGTTAAGGCAACACGCAGAACATAATCATCCATACATTAATGTTTGTTTAAAAAAAATGGAGCTTTCCCTATCTCTAGTTTTTCTTCCCCAGCAGCCAGATCAAGTTGAATGTAGATTCCTGATCTTTTTTTTCTGTTTCTTTCTTCTAGTAGTTTTAGTCCTTAACACCTGTCATGCCACCCCAGTCCCCACACTAGTTTCCTAGGGCAGCCATAGCAAATCATCACAGACTCTATAGCTTCAAACAACAGAAAGTTATTCTCTCACAGTTCTGGAGACTAGAAGTCCAAAATGAAGGTGTTGGTGAGGCTGGTTTTACTGGAAGCTCTGGGGACCTTCTGTCCCATGTCTCTCTTTTAGCTTCCTGAGGTTCTGCCCAGGTGAGGACCTTTAAGTGGGAAGGGCATTCTCTCATTCACTGCAGGCCTCCCCACTCCCCATCCTCCAACTGGTTTCCTGGGTGGATCCCAAAGCATTTGAATTTGCAAACCCTGATAAGGGAGTTTTCTTTTCTTCCCCTGACCACCAAACAAACACTTGCCCGTCTTATTTCAAAACAGTCTAGTGAAGACTCAGCTCATTTTTTTTCTGGAAAATATGAATAGCTTCTATTCTATAAGCTCTAAGATATAATATATATCTCTATAGTCTCAATCAGATATTGGAAGGGCTCCAACTCCTCTGGAGAACTCTACACCCCATTTTGCTTTACTTCTTGAAACCAGAAATCTTAGCAATCAACCTTCCTAACTCTGGAGAAGCCTCTATGGCCCCTGCTGGACATTCCCCAAGTTTGGCATTTTATGAACATTTCTGCCATTTAAGGTTATAGTTTTATTTTTTAATCATGTGGCTGGCCAAAGTCCTTGAACCCCACCCATTCACTTAAAAGAAGTGACCTTGTTTCTTTTGTTTCTTTCTCCATATCTCTCTTTCTCTAATCTCCTTGTGCAGTGATTAATTTTCCAGAGAGACACTAGGTGATTCCAACTGTCACCAGGACACACTTAAAAGTACTTGACAATTTTTGGATCCTGCTTTGAACTCAATGGATTGATAATCTCAATTTACTTAAGTTTATCTTTTTAGTCTGACCTAAATCCCTCTCCCTGCTCTTCAGGCAAAGCTGGGGGATGGAGGCGCAGACTTCCTCTAAGCTTTATGAAGAATATTCTGTTAAGTTTTCTGTTTGGTTTTTGTACTTCAAATAACTCTTAAAATCAATATTTTGATGACTGAAGTGTAAATGAATAAGAAACATGGAATAAGTTTTCCCTTCAATTACATGAACAGAAATTCTATGTGTTTTTATTGGAAATGAAAACCAAGTAACTGGGGGTATTCTCTGAGCTCCAGGTAAAGATGTTGCTTCTTCCTCTTTTTCTGGTCTTGAACATGGCACCCTCATAAGGAGAGTCCCATACCAAAAAGGGCTTTCTTTGTGCTTTTTACCTGTTTGGATTGCTATTGAACACTATTTTTCTTTTCTTTTTTAACTAAGGGTATTGAAGTAGGTACAGACAAAAGCCTGCAGTCTCAGCTTTCCACAGGGGCAGTACCATTTGGGCTTTGATCAGTGGTAGCTCTTGGTGCTACTGAATTGGGCCAGAAAACTAGGTTACAAATTAGTTGGGGCAATTTTCCATCTTAATAAGGAAACAAAAATATTTGTGTCCCTGAAGTGGGCTCTTCTTTTTTTCTTCTTCTATCAGCTTTTGCTTTTATGTTGCTTATCACAACAACAAGTGAGCTGAGGCCGAACAATCAAGAGGGAGAAAGAAGACCGGCCTGGTGCTTTAACTGGAGTTTATCAATCATTAGACTGCAGGAGGGGGAGGTAGGGAATCAGCTAATGATATTCTGAAAGGCTGAGGCTGCATTTCTAGCCTTTTCTCTTTTTTTTTTCCAATTTTGTTTTCATTGCTGGTTATAATGCTTTTAGTATAATAATAAAAACATAATAATGTTCCATTAACATTTTTTCTTTATCCTTTTGGTGTCTAAAGCAATAATAACAACAACAGATGGCTTGATCTACCACTAATAGCTCAAGGGATTACATTTCTTCTACACAGAGATATTTAGATTTAAGGAACCAAAATAACACTTCAAAATCAGAGTATACGTTTCCCAAAACAGACAACCCCAAACCATTGATTGCTACATTTTTTTCTTCTGCTATGCTTCATTTCATATGTTCTAGTATGATAATATTCAACTTTTTTACATTACAAATTATGTCACAATTGCCAAGTCTATAGATTTTCTTTGCAGCTTATACTTTGGTTTAGTCACTTCTAGATTATCTAAAATTAGGATGGTGAATAGGTGTAGACTCTCTTTCCTACCCCAACTGACTGGAAGTGACTACTTAGAACTATGGTTCTAATCTCAGTGTCTTGGGAGGCAGAGAAGGATTGCAAGTTCAAGGACAGGCTGGGCAAATTAGATCTTGCCTTAAAAATAGCACCATTGGGTTTAATCCCCAGTACTGCCAAAAAAAAAAAAAAAAATCATCTGGGGAGCTTTTACTAATATCAATTAGCAAAAGCCAGGTCAATTTAAGAATCTCTAGTGGTTGGGCTCAGGCATGTTAAAAATCATCCTGGGTGATTTTGATGAAATATCAGGATTAAGAATCATTGATCTGAGAACACTGTCTCTTACACTTCAACAGGGATGGGGTCACCTGGAAAGCTTATTAAAAACAGGGATCCAACTAGAGGTATGAAAAGTTGTGCTCTATATGTGTAATAGGAATTGTAATGCATTCTGCTGTCGTATATAATAAATTAGAATAAAAACTAGTAGGTCGAATGCTCTAGAAAAAAAGTGAACATGCCTGACAGAACAAATTAATAAACAAATACATCATTTTACTTTATTAAATTAAGAAAAAAAAAAAACAGGGATAGCCAGGCTCACCCCCAGGGTTTCTTCTCATGCACTAGGTCCAGTGTAGGTCTCAAAAATTTACATTTCCAACAAGTTTCCAGGTGATGCTGATGTTGCTAGCTGAGAGTCCATGCTTTGACAACCATTGATGTGTTATGTTGAGGAACTTGAAGCTGAATTAAGATTCAGAGGACAAGAGGGCCATGATCGATTAGTCATGGAAGACATAGTCGCCCAAAGAAACAATTGCATTTGTTGCCCTCACTCTTGAAAAGCTCATCAGTAAATTGCCCTCAGTAACAATTTAGAAGCCAGGTACAGTGGCACACGCCTATAATCCCAGCTACTCAGAAGGCTGAGGCAAGTTGGAGACTAGCTTCAGCAACTTAGCAAGACTCTGTCACAAAATAAAATTCATAAAAGACTAGGGATGTAGCTCAGTGGCAGAGTGCATCCCCAATACAAAAAAGAAAAATATGTAGAAATGGGTTACTTCTGAGATGATGATGTCCTACTACAGCTAATCCTACCACATTGTGAGAATTCATTCCTCCACCTCCTGCCCACATCAGTGGGCAGCCCAGACAGGACTAGCAGTGCTCTTCCAACTATTGCATGCTGCTTCTGCTGGGCCTGCCTCACCTAGAGGTCTCTAATCTCTGTCCACTATTTATATACATCACCAGAGAGAAGTCGCATGAGTTATTTTATCCAACATGCTAGCTGGGACCTGGCATCGAGCAAGACCTGGAGTCCCAGCATAGGTCAGGATTTTGTTTTGTTTTTGCAGTCCTGGGGATTGAACACAGGTCAATTTTGATGACATATCCTAGAAAAAGGTTCCAGATGGTCAGGGAGTGGCATGAGAGCAGGGAGAGAAGAGCTTTAAGGTGCAGATGGCAACAAAATCTAAACTCTCTGCTTCTGAACTTAGCTTTAAACCTCTAAGCACTCATTTGTTTTCTCTCAGGTCTGAGGGTTGCTCCTGATCTGAAAAGCCACCCAGAAGTAGAATCTGACTATGACTATTCAGAGACTTCAAGCTACTCTCCTGATGTCACTAAGAAAAATTGGTGAGTACTCTCCATCCACACCAGTTTCCTGTTGTGAACTCAGGTGATCCACTCTAACTCTTTACATTTTAGTGTCTCCCATATTATGCACAATTGCCAAGTCTATGAATTATCTTTGTCGGTTATACTTTGGTTGGGTCACTTCTAGATTTTCTAAAAATTAGGATGGTGAACACTAACTGGCAGTACAGCATTCCTACCACTGTCATGTTGGTGAATTGAAGAGAGTAGAGTCAAAATGTGTTTCCCATCCGATTCTCACATATCATTATCCTGTGAGCACAAGTCTTGATTCTACAAGGGCAACCTGAACACTGTCCTGTTTGGGGGGGTTCTTGTCTAGTTCTTGACTGCATTAGATCACAGCAGTGCTTTTCAATTGGGGGCAACCCATCCCTCGGTCCCACCACCAGCCATCTGGTACTGTCTGAAGCCATTGTTGGTGGTTAGTCACACCTGTGAAAGGAAGGGTCGTGGTACAGGCATCTAGAAGGTAGCGACACTGCTAAGCATCCTGTAGCACATAACATGTCAACAAACCTGGCATGGACTCTAACTGCCTATTTACCCACAAGTATTTGTTAAAGCTAACTCAAAAGGAGTGGAGCCAGCCTGCCCAGGGCTCTAGTGCACTATTTTCAGCACTCATCTGAGCCACTAAGGTTACAGAAGTAACCTAATGGTTGCTGTGAGCTCAGGTCATGACACCAAGCCTTGGAAACCTAAGGAACTCTTAGGCCTGTTCTTCTGGGAAAAGAGCTAACTGACCTTCTTCCAGAAGAGGTTCCCAGGTCACCAGGAGGAGGACACAGCTTCAGGAAAAGAGTGGACTATGGAAAAGGGAAGATCCAAAGGGGGAAGGAAGCTTGTCTTTTGTATTTTGCCCCAAATTGATTGTGGGAAACTTCATGAAGAGTTTAGTAAAGGATTTGTTGAAAGAAGCAGGTCATTACAGAGTTCTTTGCCTCTTTTCACAATGGAAAGAGAAGCTGTCATGGGTCACATTTTTTTTTTTAAGAGAGAGAGAGAGAAGAGAGAGAGACAATTTTTTTAATATTTATTTTTCAGTTTTTGGTGGACACAACATCTTTATTTTTATGTTTATATGGTGCTGAGGATCGAACCCAGCGCCCCACGCATGCCAGGTGAGTGCACTACGGCTTGAGCCATGTCCCCAGCCCAGGTTCACAATTTTTTTAAAAAAAATCTTAATTTTTGGAGACTTTTTAATAGTTTAGAGACTTGAAAAGTTAAACTCTCAACCCAGTCCTTCCCTAGTGGTCTCAAATTGCCATTGGACTACTTTTTGAAGTAGACTACTCTAGCTACTTGTCCAAATAGAATGGCTCAATCAAGGGTATTTGAGGAAAACACTTAACAGTACCTATTAGAATAACAAAATTTAGAATTCCCATGTGGCAGAATGATCACTGAATTTGGCAGGTGGAAGACTTGGGTTCTGATCTTAGTGCTAACATTTTTGCATTTGTTTGACCTTGGACGAGTCAGTGAACCAATTTTGAAAACGACTTCAACCCCAGCTTAACTCCCCTCAGGCTGATAACAGATAACTTCACTGAGCATATCTGAGCTCTTCGCACTGCCCTTGCCTGCACTGTATGATCTTTCCTTTCCTTCAGCCATCCTTTGTTCCCATTTCCCAGACCACAGATCTTTCTGGCACTGTGTCCCTGCCCTTGAGATCAGCACTATAGGAAAGTTCAGACCTGCCCTCCGAATGTTCAATAACAGTCTAATGCAAATAAATGGGTAATAGACAGATAACCAGGAGAAAAGGCATACAAATTTATTAACATGCACGTGTGTGGGGGAGCCACACAAAATACGAAATGCAAAGAAAGCACAGATGCTTGAGACTTAAATACCCTCTTTGTGCAGGAGAGGGGACAGGGTCATTGGGCTGTGGGCAATTTTAGAAGAAGAATAAAGGATTCTTAGGGGAGAGAATAAGCCCAGAGTACAGACAGCGGCCTGAGTTGAAGTTCTTCTGGGTTCTAGGTGGGATATTTGAATTATCCATCTTTCCCTCTGATATATATAACTAATGAATTTCAAGAAGAAGATTGGAGGCAATTGTGTTCCTCTTTGGTGGGTCCGGTCTTTAGGCAGATAGGCAACTGCAGAGAAATCTCTTATTGCATTTGCAGCTTCCCAGGTACTCCCAGTTTGAAGTCTAAGAGACATATTTGGGGTCCTGTTTGCTGAGGTCCAGCTGCACTCACCTTGCTTCTGGATCTTTCTGCTCTGCCAGCTCTTTCCCTTTTGCTTAGCTCTGCTCCCACTCTGACAAAACCTCCTCTCAGCCCCGCCCCTCCCTTTTCCTACTTTTACCAGTGGACTTCAGGAGACTGACACCTAAATCTGCTGCATCATCCTTTACCAAACTGAGCCCTTGTTCCTTAATCCTGAAATCTGATTGGTGCCCCCACATCCCTGAAACCGGCCTCGGGAAGCTCTGCTCCCAGTTGCTAGAGCCTCATCTTCACTAACCCTTTGCAGCATTTAGCTCCATGAGCCAGATTTGCCTTGAATTGTCCTCTTCCACGTGAGTCTGCAGTACCGTATTCTTCAGGTTCTTCCTCAGAGACATCCCCAGTCTCTGCTTTCTCTGGCTCCATGCTCCTTCTTCTACCTACCATCGGAAGGCAGGCAGTTCTCCAAGTCCTGGGCTCTCCTGTTTCTCTACTTCTCACCTGACGGATGTCATCTCTTGATGGTATATTGTGGCATCAGGTCTCAAGCTATGTGAGTTTGAGTCCCATATCTCTATTCTCACCTCCACAGTGCCACACCCCACTCCTGCCAGACATGTATTCTTTTTTATTTTTAGTTGTAGATGGACACATACCTTTATTTTATTTTTATGTGGTGCTGGGGATCAAACCCCATGCCTCACATGTGCTAGGCAAGTGCTCTCCCACTGAGCCACAACCCCAGCCCAGACGTGTATTCTTAATTCCTGCACACCAGGCCTCAGTAGAAAGCCCCCACAAAAGCACCTACTCCTCCAGACCTTCCTACTTCTATGAGAGGCAAAAACACTATCTTGTGATCTGGCCTTGAAACTTGGCATTGTCCTTTTTGATCCCTACCACTTACTTTACCCCACCTCCAACATCTTCTAAGCATCCTTCCCTGGTTCAGGTCTGCTATTACTTCTCATTCTTCTCTCTTTATGGACAAGCTTTCATTTCTGACATCTGATCAATTGTCCTACAACATATTCTGATTTGTTCAAAGAACTTTAATGGCTTCCCATTTTAGACCAAAAGAGATTCAGACTTCCCAGTCTGTGGTGCCACACCTCTCACTTCCGACTCCAGTTCATCCTCTGGGCTCACCTCCAATTTCTCCTCACATCCACTCTAGGGCTAACTGGAATCAGACTTACTGTTCTATCAACGTACCTGCTTCATTTCTCTCTGCCCATTCTTTTCTGTTCAACTCTTACCTTCTCATCCAAGTACATTGTCATGTCCCTTTTTCTTCCATGAGGACCTTACTTCTCTTTAATACTCCTTGAACTATAGCCAGCCTTTGGCTGAACTTGTGCCAAGTTAAATCAATCCACTGCCTTCTCCACCAACAAACCTTTGCTACAAAAAAATATCAGCTCAACTAAACAATAAACTTAGTGATGAATTGATTTATGTTGGGCATGAGCTCCTTACATCATTGTGAGTGGTGGCAGTTCAAAGACCAGGTTCAGACCACACTTTGGTTTGTCTCTCTCTTTGGTGCTGTTCATATTTTGTCCAGCGTTGTGATTAATCATGTGATAAAAATTTAACTTTTCAAGGGGAATGATTGAATTTTATTCTTTCTTATATCCAATATCAGTATACACAGTAGGTACTCAGTAAGTTTATGGAATTGACTTCCAAGGCCATTCCTTATTTATTAGGAAAATGTTCTTCTTGCTCAATACAAGGGTGGTGGCAGTGACAAGAAGGTCCAGAATAGTTCATCAGATAGTGTGTTATGGCATCCCCACCCCAGGGGCGGGGTCCCCTCTGTTTGATCACTAACTCAGTGTTCCGTGGATCAACATGAGAGTTAATAGGAAGGAATTCTTAGGCCAGGATAGAGGGCTCAGAGGGTAGGTAGGATAAGACAGCTGACTTATCCTAATGTGTCCTCGGTGGCAAGTAACACACCTCCAACCAAAGATTTAAGGACATGATCTCTGAAGACAGAAGTTCTGGGGCTGGCTTGCTTGGCCACTCAGGGACGTCGTCTAGGACACATGCCCCTTGCATCTCTGTTTTGCTGCTCTCTGCATGTCAGCAGCGCCCCTACTTACGTCCACACGGTGACTGAACCAACACTAAGCATGACTTCCTCACATGTCAGTGTGTGACATGGGGAGGAAAAGCTGAATGGGAAAGGGTTCTCCTCGGGAGCCTCCTTCTGGACTTTTCTACAAGTCCCCCAGGAGACTCTCCTTGCATGTCACTAGCCAGAATTTGCAATGGTGGCCTTGCAGGGAGCTGCGGTGGAGGCCCGGAAAGAGAGTATTGGCATTTTCAGTGTCTACAGGAGAGAGTAGGCAAAGAGGAAAGGGATCAGGGAAGCAACGAACAATATGTGTTGTCCCGAGTCCTGAGGGGACAGTGATGGGGCTGGACAGGTACCAGGGTAAGATGGAGGGAAGGGAAATCAGAGGAAGACTCAGCAAGGCAGACCCAGACATGACGAGGACTGCTGAGAATAGGAACAGGGGAGTGCTGAGGCCAACATTCGGATTCACCCAACCTTTATCGCTAGGCCAGGTCTTTTTCCACGTTATCTCACATAATTCCTACACCAGTCTTTGGGTTGGCTTTACCTACTCCATGTTATAGATGTGGAAACTGAACTTGGGGAGGCTAAGTAGCTCCCAGGTGCCCAGCAACAGAATGTGCGTGGCCTTATGTTCATTCAGCACTCAGGATGCAAAAAAAGGAAGTAAGGAAGGAAATAGGGTAGTGCTGGGTTGG